TCATTACTGCTATTAATTTTCAAAATAGATTTAAAAAAAAAATCATTTTCTGTTTTTTTTTTTTTTTTTTCCTGAAACATTACCTGCTAAAAATCCCATATAAGTCTTGATGCAGAAAAAGTTGGCAAACATGGAGTGTCAAAAGGATGGTTTTTTCCCATGTCTCTACTTTTATTTTAACTACTACTTTGCAACGTTTATTATGTTTTAAAAAAAAAACTATGGTTACATAAAACATGATTAGAATTGGAATAAAACCTAAACATATGATGAAATTGAATTTATACAATTTTTTTTTTGTTCTTGAGAATTTACAGCAAAAATACTAAACACCAATTATTTATTAGATTGTTTATTTACAAGATAAATTTATATTTACAACATTCTAAAAACTAATACAATTAGAACTAATGCAATGCAATATTTATCATTTACCAATTTATAAAGATAAATATGAAAACAATTTTCATTCATAAATTTATAAACATTTACTAAATTATTAAAATATGTGACCCACCTATAAGTAAATCCTTATTATTTACCCTTTTTATAAAGTTCAAATCAATTGACAATTAGCCAATGTTTTGCCAATCATTCCAATAGACAATGTAATAAATAAATAGTGTAAATAATATAATAAATAGTAAATTTTGTTGTAAATTTTCAAGAACAAAGAAAATGTATAAATTCACTTTCATATCAGGTCATCCCATAAGTTCTGTCCGAATTTTGAATAAAGAAAACAAGTGACCAAATGTTACATTTAATTACAGATTCAATCAACAATGTATTTTCCCTGATTATCTATGACTTCCTTCCATCTATTAACAAGCTTACTAATTCCATTATTGTAAAATTCTTTTGGCTTTGATTCGAAGAACTCACAAATGTCAGTTTTAACCTCTTCCTGTGTTACAAAAGCTGTTTCTTCCAAATGATTCTGTAAGCTACGAAACAAATGGTAGTCTGAAGGAGCAAGATCAGGAGAATAAAGTGGATGAGGAATTTTCTCCCAACCAAGTTCTTCAATCTTTTGTGACGTGATTCTTGCTGTGTCAGGTCGCGCATTGTCCTGATGAAACATCACCTCTTTTCAATTCACTAGAGCAGGTCTTTTTTTTCCCCTCAAAGCTTGGTTCAAACGCTCTAATTGCTGACAGTATATTTGAGCATTAATTGTTGCATTAGGTGGTAAGAATTCCAAGTGGATTATTCCTTGGCGATCCCACCAGATTGAAAGAAGAACCTTTTGCCCATGAAGTTCCCTTCTCGACTGTCACTGGGGTCCTTCCCCTTTACCAAGCCACTGTCTATGACACTTAACATTTCAATAAAAGATCCATTTTTTGTCGCCAGTCACAAGTCTATCCAAAAAAGGTGAAATAAGTTGGTGGGAATGGAGAGAAGAGCAGATGTCAACTCGGGATTTGAGGTTGTTTTCAGACAATTCATGAGGCACCCATTTTCCAAGTTTAGGAACTTTTCCAAGTTGTTGAAGATGACGATGAACAGTTGTATGGTTTGAACTGAGAACCACTGCCAATTCGTCAACTGATAAAGCAGGATTTTCTTCAAGGGCTGCTTCAAGAAGCTTTTCATCAAACTCAACTGGACGTCCGGTTCAATCTTTATCTTCAAAGGTGAAATCTCCACCTCTGAATTTTGCAAACCTTCTTCTGCAAGTTCTTTCATTCACACATTCCTCTCCATAAACTGAGTGAATGTTTCTAGCCACTTCAGCTGCTGAGTTTCCTTTCTTGAACTCATAAAGCATTATGTGCCTCAAATGATTCTTGGGTACTTCCATGTTAGCAGGGTTTTAATCAAACAAAATTTAATTTTATTGTTCTCTGAAAAAAGGTTCATGTTTGCCAAGAAATCTATGCCTCGTCCCAGAAAATAAAAAAAATAACTACAATAAAAAAGCAAAATAATGCATTTAAAGTCAAAATAAAAACAATTTTACAGATGATTATACAAGGGTAGATCAATAAATAAAGGTAATTTTAAAATTATGCAGTAAAGGCAACATGGAAAAATTTGCATCACATGCTGCAAGCACATAAGGTAACTATACACAACATTCCGTCGTTCACTTGAAAGAAAGAAACAATGAAATCAGATTTCTGATTTATGAGTGCTCCACTCAGCAACTACTCCATCAAGGAACAATGCGCCATAGTGTACTTTCTGTGGGGAAAAGGGAGTCAAACATGCAGGAATTCATCACATACATTTTTGTTGGTCTCTCACTCAACTGCACCCAACACATGATGTTGCAGTCTGGGGAGTTATGTGGCCAGATGTAAGGGGTGATGTGGTTGCAGAAATTGTCTGACAGCCATGACTGGGTTCTCCTACTTGTGTGGCATGGTACAGAGTCTTTTTGCCAGACATAGGGTCATCCAGCAATCACCCTCTTGGCCAATGGTAGCACTACCTCTTAAAGACATGATGTATGCCTCTGTGTTGAGTCTGAGGCTCTCACCAACAAATTTAAGAGTTCTTTTCTTATCAGAATGAGTTTTCTGAGCTGCCATACCTTCATAATCACCATTAGACTCCGCCAACTCTTTCTGAGCTCAGATTGACACCCGGCAAGGTGAATTGTGTCATGGTGCTCTTTTTCTTACAGATGGTGTCCAACTGATCCTACTATACTCTGCAGTTCACAAAATCAAAAACAATCAATAGACAAAATTAAAAATATAAAATGGCGACAATTTCCTCATTACACCCTGTGAGTATGTGTGTGTATATATATATATATATATATATATATATATATAACCTATATGAATTTTTGTGTAATAATTTGCATAGATAATCCCATGTCCATGTTGTTTGGATCAATATACAGCCATCACTTATTGATTTGATTGATTGTTGTTTTTTTTTTTTTGTTTTTTTTTTGTTCTTTTCTGCCATCCTGATAAATCAGTGGATATGGAAGTTTCTATGACAACTCATATTGTTGCTTAAGCATCCTCTGTTGCTGAGATGTTGCCACCTACTGAAACTAATTTACACAATCAAATATTTGTCATTATTGGCAAATTTGTTGGTTTTCTTGGTCAACGAGGACAGAGCAGAATTGATATGGTTGATACAGGTTGTGAGAAAAGGTTTTAAATTAGTTTGAATACTACGTCATTTAGGTGTGGTCTTTAGAGCTGATATTAGACACAATTTAAGGAAGAGATATTATATTTCTTAGTGGAATGGATATGAAAAATAAAAATAGGTACCTCCACAGAAAAACAATACCTGAGGTTTAAAATGAATTTTTAAAAATTAAAAATCTTTCTTAAAGCTTTTATTTTAGTTTTAATTTCAAGCTAATAGATTAAATTTAATATTACTTTGTTGTATTTCAAAACTAATTTAAATTGACTGTAAGGTGTTTTCATTTTGAAATTTAAAATGAAACTCAATTTTTTTTTTTTTTTTTTTTTTTTGACTTTTTAGCCATCTGTCATCATGATGTAATCTACTATCTTTTTATTAAAAAAAAATCTTTTTTAAAAAAATCAAAAAAATATACTTTCCTGAAACTTTATTTGAGGAATATTGGCTGATTTAAAGTTAATCTGATTTGAAACCAATATTATTTACGTTAAATTTAATTGATGATTTAAATTCTCCAAAGATATAACTAATATAAACATTAAGTGCTACAAAATTTAATTTCTTGAAATTTCATGAAATTAAACAAGTGAGAGGTAACAGATGTAAAAAAAAAAAGAAAAAAAAAGTTTTTACAAAGATTTTCTAAAAAAAAAGAAATATTTCTAAAATAATTTCATTTGTCAATAAGTCTTGAAGAAATTAAAATTTAACCATTATTTGATTTTTGCAAGAATTTCCAAATCAATGTGTTTTTCACCACAAAAAAAGATGCTAAAATTTCCTATATTAATCTTTGATCCCCTCCCACCACTGATGCAAGAAAAAGATTTTTAACCCAAAAATCAAATGTTCTAAAAAGGATCAAAATATATAATTTAATAATCAAAAAATCCTTTGGTCTCTCCTCTTGATAATAACAAGGATTTTGATGATAAAACTTTGTTTAAGGCTTTTTTTTTTTTTTTTATTGTGGTATACTAATTTTTTAGCAAATCATTGGAGGTACCTAAATAAAAGTGTTTTGAAAAAAAAATGTTTATAGGTTTTTAATATTTGATTTATAAAGTTTAAATTTGATTAAATTTATATTTTGCTTTTACCATTCCCAAGAGCAAGCATGGGCCACATTTGCTGAAGAGTGGGCCACAAATTTTATAAGAAACAAAGAAAAGAGTAAAGAAGTGTTACATAATATCATTCTTCCTGTATGGTAGTAAATATTGGACAATTTTCTAACAGAATACCAAGGACCAAACATGTGAGCAATGACAGTTTTAGAGAAAATGAAAAAAAAAAAGGAACTTATACTTAACATCAGGAAAAAAAATAGTTGAAATTTCTAGGGCATATAAGAAAAGAGGGATTGGAATTGAGTGCCTCTTGGGCCTTGTATTGGGGGAAAAATAGTAAAAAAAAAAATTCTCCTTCAATTTAATCTTTCTTCTTCTTTTTCCCCCTCAAGATTAAGGAATAATGTTCTCTAGTCTTTTATTGCCAGTTGACATTAGAGTCAACCTTGGATTTAATAATAATCTGGCCTAAGATTGATCGTTCAGCATCTATAATAATGATATGAAAAGCATGAAATCATTAGAGCTTGGAATCAAAATAGATAATTGGGCTGATCTCTCAAGTTAGACCAAACTTTGTATTTCCTCTTTATTACAACTAAATATCAAATGTCACTTGCATTTATGTAAGAGGAAAGCTGAACAGATTGGTTCTCCCCAATTTAATAATTGTTATTTGCTCATGACAAAATAAACATATAGATCTTTTTTTCTGATTTAAGAAGTAAATCATATTGACAATTTTTATTCCAAATGATGTTATGAATGAAAATAGAACCATTATTTTTCACTTGTCTCAGCTTATGGCCATATCGTGTTGAAACAGGAGTTCCTATATGATCACCAAAGCTAAGCAACATCCAGCCTGGTCAGTAACTATTTGGGTGACCACTTGGGAATACCAGGTGTTGTAAGTTTGGATGTGCAACTGGTGTAATGGGGAATAGCTCAGAATTGGAATTCGGAGAGCTGAGTTCCTATTCCACTCTGGTTTGATATATTCACTTACAAATACACTTGCTAAAGATATGACTTTAGCTCTTCTTCCTCCAGCTATGGGTTAATTAGTAAAATCAGTGAATCATTATTTTCTCCAAAAAAATTCTTATAATCTAAAAATATTTTCTAGCTTTAAATAACCTACAAAGGATTGATAAACTTAAAAAGAAATCATTTAATCCACTTGATAACCTATTTAAAATAAATCTGTGGATGGAATTTCAAACAGGCCAAATGAATTTAAATCTACATTACTGTAGTAATTTGAGTGCATGAAAGTTTGAAATATTTTTCATTGATCCTACCTATGATAAAATACAAAAATAATTGGGCATTTTATCAGAATGTTTCTTTATAAGGAAACTGCTAATATAAACATTACCACCACCATTTGTATGCTACAAAAACAATTAGGTGTTTCTACAGAAACATATGTATTCAAGAAATAATAAATATTTTTTTCATATTACTATCAATTAAACTCTCCAGATCATGAAATAACAGTATATAAGTTTTTTAAATATCAAAAACAATTTTAGGGGAATGAAGTATGACTAAGTGAAATGTTTTCATGTCATTTGTTTCGCCCTTTAGAACTTCATTGGACTAAATTTATTTTTACATTGATACGACTATACATGTGCATTAGCGAAAGAGAGATACTGAGAGAATATATATATATATATATATATATATAATACACACACACACACACACACAAGGAGCTGAACATTTTACAGCATCTTTAGTGATGGATCATATATGAGTTCCACTTGTGGTTTGGGGTAAATATGAGGTTCAATAGGTGTTCAAGCTACAAAGCCTCAAGAGTGAAATCATTTATCATGATGGAGTAAATGCAGGGTCAGCTTTGTGATGATGAAATGTTATCAGCTTCATTTTGGTAGTAGTGTAAGTTAAAAGCCAATCTTTCTCTTATTGAGCTGTTAGAGCTTGGTCAGAGGAGAAATCAGCTGCCAGTGTCTGATCATTATTTTTGGAGGTGCACACATATTTCCTGATGATCTGAGAAAATGTCTAGGAAGCCATTTTTACTCCATTTGGTACATACCAACCATCCCATCTACAATTGTCTTCTACAATTCCACCCAAAATACATCTCTGGTGCCTCACTTACATCTTGTACAGGACAATGTGCTTGATTCACCCAGTCCATTAAGGGTAGCTCATTCCAGACATTTCACCTTGTCACTGGGCTTCAAAGACAATTAAATAACAGGCTTAAGAAATTTTGCAACATGGCAAATTTAGTATTAAGATTATTTAGTTATGTTAACCATAAAGAATTTATGTGGTGAACATACAAATTACAAATTAGAGACAACAAAATAAAGTACAATATTTTAAATATCTAGGAAGTATTTTAACAGAGGACAGAAAATGCAACACCAAAATCTGAAGCCACATTCGGATAGCAAAAGATGCCTTCCAAAAGCTTAGCAAAGTATTAAGAAATAGAAAAATTTTGTGAGAAACAAAGTAAAGCGTACTAAACTGTTACATAATCATAATATCAGTCCTCCATGGCAGCCAATGCAGGACAATCTCCCCAAAGATAAAGAAGAGACATGAGGAACAGAAATGTGGTTCTACAGAAGGATGCTGAGAATATCATGGACTAAACATGTGAGCAACTATGATAAAAAGGGAAACAAAAAAGGATATTTATATTAAGCATCAGAAAGACAGTTGAAATTTCTAGGGCACATAATGAGGAAATAGGGCTTGGAGAATTTGACACTCACAGGGCATATTGAAAGCAAGAGGAACAGAGGAAAGCAGCGCATAACCTACCTAATGAGCTTGTGTAAATGGTTGGCTGAACTGGGATTAGGAGAGATAAAAAAAAGACAAACTTTGCTAACAGCTACAAAGGACAGGATATTGTGGAGAATCATGATCATTCACACCCTGAAAGGCCATGGCACATAGAAGAAGAACCTTGAAACTTTCTCTTATCTAATCTTCTACATTAGACACCATATCTTGCACTCATTTCTTTGCTATCAAATGATTCCTGTTAAACATTTTTGCTATTTTAAAGGTTGTGAGTGTTGAGCTGCTATGTCATATCTAGCTTCCTATATAGCAGTGAATGCTGGACAATTTCTTCACAAATTAAGGCTCCAAGTGACAGATGTAGCTTAACAGACGGATGTTGAGAATACAATGGATTGAATATAAGAGAAACAAGGAAATTTTAAAGAAAATGGAAAACTTAAGCCAGAAAGAGGCATTTGAAATTTCTAGGTCACATTATGAGGAAAGAGGGTTTGGAAAATTTAACACTCAGAGGACATATTGAAGGGAGAGAGAAACAGCAAATAATCGACCTCTTGCTTGCAACAACAAGGGACAGGAAATTATGAAGAACTATGATGAACGCATGTCTTGACAGGACACACCACATGAAAGAAGTGAGTGGATGTCAGAGTGGAGATAGAGAAGGATGGTAAAGAGTCAAATGGTGCTTAGAGCTTCAAGTTGTGGAGAACCATGACAGGGCACATACATGTAAAAGAGGGGTTGGCAGAACTGGGACAAAGATAAATGGCAAAGAGACAAATGTTGTTTAAAGCGACAAGGTATAGGAAGTTGCGGAGAGCCGTGACCACCCATGGGACATGACACATAAAAGTAAGTAGATAGCAGAGTAGGGATAAAGAAAGATGGTAAAACGTTAAACATTGCCTAGAACTACAAGGGACAGGAAATTGTGGAGTCATAATCACCCATGTCCCTTCAGGACATGGTGCACAAAAGAAAACTGCTTTTTTCAAGTTGTGTAACAACAGAATTCTTACCTGCCTATGATGAATCACTTTTGTGACCCATAATTTATTAATTATGTAGTGGTTAACGTATAATTTCCCACTAATATTGTCAGGCTATAACAAAAATGGCTTCTTTTTGTTTACTTGCGTACATTATGTCTGGCCAAATTGGTACAGGTCAGTGTTTTGCCAAAGTTTTTGAAATTTTTTTTTTTTTTTCTCTTTTGTTAAATTAAATTTCCAACAATTTTGAATAATAATTTGGCACACATTTCATGTTATAATGATTTTTCTTTGCATAGCTTAGATGTGGCATAAGGCCAGAAGTGTGAGGCACCTAGTGAAGATCGAAATCACTACTCAGTCATAATTTATCTAGTGAGACAAGCTTACTAACCATTACATATCAAAGTGACCAAAATGATTTTCTAAACATACCTTAGATGTGGCACAAGGCCAAAAGTGCGGGGCACACAGTGAGGATCGAATTTACTACTCAGTCGTAATTGATCTAGCAAGACAAGCATGCTAACCATTACACCATGTTGAAGTGCCTCATTTCATATCTTATATACCACATATGATTACAAGAGAGCAAATAAAAAAACAAAGTGAAGGTGGAAAGAAAAAGAGACAAGATATGTTAAAATAATCTCTGTATTGCAGGTATAAAGGCTCAAGGCGGAATGTCTCTTTATAGGCAAGGGAAGTGACCTGGCAGATGGAAGAGTCATGCCGTTGAATCTTTTGATGGGTTAGTTGATCTGGGACTGCTGGTTAGTTGATCTGGGACTGCCTGCCTACTTTTGTCATGAGCGGGTCCTTTTAAGCAGTCATGATTCTTTTTCTGCTTTAGTAACAATATTCATGATTGGCTCTGACAACTGTATTTTATATTTTTTTTTAGTATTTGTTTTGTGAGCCGGATGCAATGTTTATAGCTCCTGTGTAGAGAGCAACATTTTTATTTTTGTAGTGTTCACATCTGGCAAATAGGTTTTGATGTAGATCTAATTTGAAGCAGAATATAATAATATATGCAAACGTTTGGTTTCTCTTATTCTTGCCCACTGACTATACTCCTACTATATGACTCCTGCAAATTAAATATTTCTGTTTTAAACTTCTTTTTTTTATTTGTCTGGGTTCTTGACTCATCAGTTAATTGATTTTCTATAACTTTAAGAAAAATCATAAACATTACAAATCTAGTAGACCATTGCTACTAAGCTGTGTGTTTGATCCTTACTGGTTGCCCTATACAAAATTCAATATTAAGTAACCTAGCAAGGATTGATTAGTTGCAAAATCAACCAACTAAATAGGCATCTTGGCATGGAGTAATGATTATCAAATCTAGTTTTATAGACCATTATTACTAAGTTGTGAGTTTGATTCTCACTGGGTGACCCATACAAAATTTGATATTAAATAACAAGGATTGACAAGTCTTAAAATCAACCAACCTAAGTACCTCAGCATGAGCTAATAGTGAGGCTAGTTTCGTCAACCATTACAGTTGAGTAGTGAGTTTGATCCTCACTGGGTGCTGCATACAAAATTTGTCCTAAAAATCAATCAACCTAATGAAGTAGGCACCTTAGAATGTGGAGGCAGGTGGAGTAATGGATAGCGGCTCGGATCGAGGAAACGGAGAGCCAAGTTCGAATTCCAGTCGAATCCATTACATTCACTTACGTGCTAACACCCTTGGAAAAGGTGTGAATCCTCTTTCTTCTCCCTCCAGCTATGGGTAAATAGCAGGACAGACCGGGTTCTATAGCCTTGGATGGCAACTGGTCTAGGAGAAGGAAAACTCTGAATTCAAACCTGCTCTTAGAGGAGGGTGAATGGAGTCTCTCTGAGCCTTGGTTGGCAATCCATTTAGTGTTGGTGTCACGATAAAAACACCCTTGATAGCCCTAGTGAAGCATCAAGAATTCAGCTATTTGACAAGATTATGAACTACACCAATCAAAGTATTGGTGAGTTCAATCTCAGCTGAGGCCGCAAGATGATGATGAGAATGGGGTTAGCAAGGCTAGTTTAGTTGGCCATTACTACTAAGTAGTGAGCTTAGTCCTTGCCAGGTTCTCCACATAAAATTCAATGATAAACAC